CAGAAGCCACCGCTGGTGACCGCAAACGTTCTGGTTCGTCATCCAGAGAAGCATGCGACGCCGTGAGACCCTGTTTTTCCGAAGTGGCAGGTGCAGCTCAATGTAATGCGAGCAGCTACTTCAACCCACGAGAACGGACCCACCGACCGACAAGATGTGATTCGTCCGAGCAAGTTGCAGAACCGCATCTCGTAATAGCCTCTGTACAGAGACAGCTCGGGAAACACCGTCCTCCAAGAAACTCTACGCGACGTGATGGAATCCTTCCCGGCGCCGAGTTGCTTGGTCGGTGCAAGGACCGAGATCATTTCGACTGTACGAGATCATCACAGTAAAACGATCCCCGGTTCCAGCAGAGCCGGAGCGAGGGGATGCCTGTTCGCAGCTTGTCCGCAGGGAAACCAGCCCGCATTGTATTGGTGGCTTGGTGTAGCTCGAAAGGCATCGGTACCGGAGAACCCGCGACCGATGAGCTACATGATAAAGAGCAGCTCGCTTTCGACAATTCAAAAAATCTAAATTAGGTTGATGTACTAGTAGGCTACACTACTTCTACCCAGTCATCTCGACATCGCCTATTCGTACGTGTCGGCGTCGTCGCTCACGTCGACACGAAGGGCGCAAAACACTTCGAGCGCTGCGTTGAGTATTTCATCGTCAAAGGCGGCGACGTAGTTGATAAACTCCTGGAAGCGTTCGCGCCGGGCCTCGATCATCGCCACGTCGTGTCGGCGCAGGTACGTGCGAAGACCGGCCTCGGGCAGCGGCGGCAAGTCCTCAATGAGCAAGCTCATCTCTTGATGGAACAGTTTAAAGTCGGTGAAGCGCTTGGTGGCCACGACGTCGTCTGACGTGATGTGGTAGAGCACAACACCCGAGTCGTCGATCGAGTAGGACGAGAGGAGGTAGACCTTTTGGGGCGGCGCAATTGGTGCTGTCGTCGGCACCAGCGCCGACGATGTGTTCACAGCCGACGTCGACTGCGAGCAGCCCATAGCGAATCGCAAAATGCAATGCTGCAGTATGGTCGAATACCTTCCACCTGCTCGGTTTGAGAATTTCCATCGCCACCGATTCCCACAGTCAAGTACACCTACGACAGTACTAGTACTTTCGAGGAATCATGTACACTCTTCAGTTCTTGGCCACGAGATGCAGGAGGGACCTTCCATTGTATGATGCCCACAAAGGGTCAGAGAGGTGCGCTGCTCGATCGCTTACTTACCGTCTCCACCTGTGTGTCGGGACGGTAACCGCTGCATGTACTGTTTAAGGGAATGACGAATGATGGTCGATGGCACATGGACGGTAGAGAGGCGCTGAGAAGGGATATACACGTGGCGCTGCACCGCATGGCAACTGGACTGTGTGGCTCGTAGCGTGTCCGACCTCTGGCTGCGCTCTGCCGCTAACGACGACGGACTTCAAGCCGAGCTTCAATCAATGCCAACGAGGAAAGAAGCGACGACCTTGGGTAGTCAGCCCACCAGCAGCCAGCACCAGCGCAGCCTTGCGTTGCAGGCTCTACAACATACTGTAGTCCGACCCCTCTATGACCGCTGGAAACCGTCGCCCTTGATTCATTGCTTCCGTACCATTGGTATGTGCAGAGTCAGTAGAACCACCGGCTGTCGCTTTGGCTCTATTTCGTTGAGCAAAAACCAACCTGCTACGACAACAGCAGTGCCTGACAGGGGACGCCTCGCAGGATCGACCACGACAGCGTCAACCTCGCACCCAAGGAATGTATTTCCTCGCTGGCACTCACGACGAATTCCGTGCCTCCTCTCGTGTTGCAGGCGTAGGTCGCGGAGCAAGACAATATTGTGCACAAAACAAAATCGTAATACATGCTTGCTTCTTTCCACGGTCCACCTAGTCATCGTCGTTCTCTATTGATCGTTCTTGCTATTTACATCATAAATTGAAAGCCATAGCCAAACTTCAGGTCGTCCGCGGCCGGTGTGCCCTCGGCCGAGAGAAGCAGCTGGAGCTGCGGCAGCACCTTGCACTCGAGCGACGTCGCAAGCTTGAACGTGTGGTCGATGCTCGAGACGAAGCGCGTCTGGCGCAAATCGACCTCGACACCGAGCGTGCTCGCAGCCTCGCCCGACGGCGCGTTGTACACGAGCTCGGTCGCGAGCCGGACGCGGTCCGAGACCTTGCGGAGGTAGTGCAGCTGGAGCGTGCCCTGCGAGCCGTACGAGGCAATGCCGGTCCACTTGGCGTCCGTGTACTTGGCCACGTACGACGCGATCGTCTTGCGGTGCTTGCCGTAGTAGTAGCCTTCGCCGCCGATCGCCCACTCCTTCGTGACGCTCTGGAGGTAGTTGACGCCGAGGAGGAGGCCGTTGCCGACCTTCAAGTTGGCCGAGCAGTCGGCCGCGCTAAAGTCAATGTCGACCATCGCCTGCGACGCATGGGCCTCCTGCTTGAGCTGCGCCTGCGCGCGC